GGGGGGGGGGGGCAGGTGGAAGGCTCCAGACTGTGGCCTCCATCCGGCTCTCGCACCGACGGGAGTGAACTCCCGCTTCCCGGAACTCCGCCAGACGGACAAGCGATGTCTACAGGTGCAAAAAAAAAATCTCGAAAAAAGCCACACAGCTTGCAAAGGGTTTACTTTGTCCCGGTGGCGTTCTTGGACCGTAAGAAATACTGATCAGCTCGCCCCTTTGGCCTCTCCGCTATCCGGATCTCCCGCTCAAACTGCCGCTGGAGTTGCACGGCCAGCCGCCGGTCGGCCTCCTCCTGTTCTAGTCTCTGCTCGGTCCCGCCCCGCTGCCGTCGCCTCTGCCGTCTCAGCGGGTCGGACGCCGGAGGGCCCTTGCGACAGCCCACCGACGGCCTCAGCCGCTTGACCGAGGGGTCCAGGTGCTTGGTTTTGCATGGCCGCTTCTGTCCGCGCCGCAGAGAGGGAGTCTCCTCGCCGAGTCCCCTCTCGAGACGGAGGCCGTTGGAGAGATGGCGCAGTCCGCTCTCGTCCCAGTATCTGCGCGGCTTCCGCTCGGCCGGATTCCCGAGCGTGCCGTTCTCCGAGGCCGCGTTCACTCGCACGACTTTCCGGGGTATCGCTTTGGCATCGAAGCGAAGGCACGACCCAGCCGGACGGGGCGCCGATTTCACTTCAGGGAGCTCGGACACCCTGGAATGGGGGGGTTTCTCGGCGGGTCTCAGCGGGAGGACCCTGGGGGTCAGCTCCGTAGCCTCTGAGGCTCTCCGATCATTTACAGAACTGTCCAGCTTTGCTAGAGAGTGAGGAAGGAGAGGGTCCGCCAAGGAGACATCGCTGGAAATGTTCAGAGGACCGTTGATGGGGATGTTGAGGTTCGGGGCCGGGAAATCTTCGCCCGGCTCGGGAACCGAGGTGGTCAAGGTAGCCTTGGAGAGCGTCTTTTTGACCTGACGTTCCTGGAAGATCTGCTCCCACTTCTTCAGGATCCGAGGGCTGGCTTCGTAGGTGGTGGGCTTCTGCAGGCTCCTGGTCAGGTTCCTGGGGGTGGACTTGATGATGAGGGGGCTCAGCACACGCCCGTCCGGCAGCTGCTTGGGAGGCGTGCAGGGTGAACAGACGATGGGCTTGAAATGATTCAGCTCCTCGGAGATGCTGTCGTTGCTCTCGGGGCTGATCGAGCGCTCCTGCCTGGGCAGAACGGGGAACGAGGCCGCCGCCTGGTGGGAGGCCAGGCGCTTCTCGGCCGTCAGGTCCGGAGCAGAGAGGCAGCGGTTGTTTTGGGTGGAGGAAAGGACACCCACGAGGGAAACGGAGGCACCAGTGGAGGGGTTGGCCTGCAAGAGAAGACGTTATCGGTCAGGGATGGCGCCCCCAAAAATGGAAGTCTGTGGAGGTTCGGGGTCATCCAGGTCACGGTTGGCCCAAAAGTGATTTTTTTTTTCAAGAGGTGACTGGTCTTTCTTGTTTTTTCCTTTGAAGTTTGTTAGGAATAACAAGGTTACCTAACGTGGTTTGGGTAAAATAATATATATAGACTATGATAGTGAGTTTAAGTGTGTGTCACTTTAAACTGCAAAGCATGTAATTTTGGGTGCGGTTGTAAAACAGCCATAAGAGGGAGCAAGAGAACCTGATTGATTGCTGGCTTACTGGATTCCTTGCTGACAATGATGGATTGTTAACTGCGTGTTTCCCTGCTGTTGCTGAAAGAAGAAAAGAGGTTTGACTTCTTCATATCTCTACTGTGAAGAGATTGATTACTGGACTGATATTAGTAAGTTTAATGACCTCTTTTTCGACACTGGACTTTGCAACTGATTAATCCCCCGAGGGACTGAACTAAGTGAATGATATATGGACTGTTTGACTATGCTATAAATCTTACTGGAATAAACTATTTAACTAGCACTGTGTATCTGTTTTTACTGAGTGTAAACTACAACAACGTTTATCTCACATATTTGCCTGCCTGCCTGACTGCCGTGCAGGTTCTGCTAGGGTGTATATCCCTAACAAAGTTGTTTCCCTTCTCCTCCAAGAAGCTTCTTCAGCTCTGACTGGATGGTGAGGAAGGGAAGGATTGATATTCCTTGCAGACAGCTGGTCGTTTGCATCCTGTTAGAGGGTCATTGAGGCCACTTGGAGGTTTGTCTGTGGGTTCCCTGAGTATTGCAAATGGGCGTGGAGCCTTCTTGGCTGCAGGATGTTTTCTGCCCTGTGTCCCTTCACTGTTGGCTCCCCACCCATTTGCACCACTCAGGTGATCCTGAGGACACAGGTAAACCTCCAAGTGGCCTCAGCGACCCTCTAAAAAGGATGCAAATGACTGGTATGAATCCTTCCATTCCCCACCATCCGGTCAGAGCTGAAGAAGCTTCTTTGGAGGAGAAGTGAAATGTCTTCAAAGAAAAAACAAGGAAGTTCAGTCGCCTCTTGGGGGGGGGGAAATAAAAAAAGCACCTTTGGGAGACAAAATGGCACAAAAATTCAGAACAACGGAGGCGAGAGAGAAAGGGGAACCACAGTGTTGATTCATATTGCCTTTCCCAGAAAAATTTAATATTCAATTTAATAGTCGATTTATAGCGTCCCACAGTCCTGTGACTGCATTTTACATCGTTCCAGTTTTGGGGGCAAAAAATTTACTCCCCAGTTTTCGTTAAAAGCAAACCGATGGCGAATGGTCGGTTCGATTAATGACTTCGCCACCACTACAAAAAAGAGGTCCTAGAATCGGATCAGTCACATAGGACGAAGCCATTTTACAAGCATGACGACATACAACAGTGACGGACATGCTCCAGGAGGGTCATACGTTGAGGGCTTACAGGTACATGGCTAATCTCCTCTCCGATCCTTTTCTTAAGAGGAAAAGTCGAGACTTTTTTTTTTTTTAAAGACAGCCATTATTTTTTTCCCCCAGGGGTCACCAAGAATCCGGTACCTTTGTCCTAACAGGAGCCGATCTCTGCCTGCTCTTCGATCGATTCCCCAGAGTATCGTTGCAACTTTGACTCCTTTCAACTTTGGAGCTGAAATTTCTGTGGAGATTTTGCAAAACAAAAACAAAAAAAAGGGAGGGAGGGAAAAAAAATAACCTTAGCCACTTGATTGAAGCCTGCAAACGTCATTCCTTCTCGCTATTATTAAAGCGCCAGCCTGTCCTTTCAGATACAGGCAGCCCTCGACTTACAACAATTCATTTAGTGACTTGTCATGCCCTTGTTGGAGTCTGACTCGGCTGGGCATTTAGAGGAAGACCTAGGCCCACCCCCTCTCTTCATCCTAGGGCACACAGGGAGGAACAGAGAAGGGAGCAATGTGGCTTACGGGGAGAGGAAAGGGCCCTGATCCCCTTCATTAGTTGCAGCGGGAAGACTGTTTAAAAGGGCAAACTGCGCAGCATGGCAAAGTTGCTGGAAGCAAAGTGTGCATTATCTTTGTCGAGACTTATCTGGGTTTTGGCGTCCTCCCAACTGTGGTTTCTGTGTTATCTGGTGGAAGTCTACAATTTATCATCCTGGCCTGCTGTGTTAATAACTTCAGTGAGGTTTGCGTTGGTTTTTTTTTATTTCTAATTATCTTTACTTTGGGTTCGGACTGCATTTACTCCATTTGTAGACTGTTTTTGGAACAGTTAGATTTCCATCTGAGAATAACTGGACACTGGGGGCCAAGTTGGAGGGTATTTAAAGGGTATTTATTCTACTTTTGTGACTTTGTTATTTTTGGGTCACACCCCGGGTCGTCACAGTGACCGCTCAAAGTTAGAAGAGCACAGGAAAAAGTGACTTATGGTCGTTTTCCACACATCGTTGCGGCATTCCCCGTGGTCACACAAATCAAAATTCAGACGCTCCGCAACCAACTTGTATTTATGATGGTCGCAGGATCCTGGGGTCACCTAATCCTCTTTTGCGACCTTCGTACCGGCAGAATCCACAGGGATGCCGGATTCACTTCACGACCATGTGACTCACTTAACAACTGCAGGGATTCACTTAACAAATGTGGTCCAGAATGTTCGTAAAAAAAAAAACGGGCCAAATTCACTTCACACCGAAATCTGGAGCTCGGTTGCGGTCGTAAGTCAACACCTGCCTCTGCAAATTTAGTCCAGGGGTCTCCAACCTTGGCAACTTTTAAGCCCTGTGCACTTCGGGATGGAGAAGATGATAACCAAAATATACAGTTTCCTTTGGAATTTTAAAATGGAAGAAACCGTTGCAGAAACGGTGACAGCCTGGGGAAAGAACTTTGGGTATAGGATCGAATTAGAATATTGGGGGGGAAATGTGGCTGGGAGGGGATTACAAATTAACAATGTTGGCAGCGTATAAAGAAAATATATATAAAATGTTTTACTGTTGGCATCTACTCCCGGCTGTTGTGGTTTGCTGGCAGCCGGTGCAGATGGCAGTGGAATCGGACAGTGGGGAAAAAGGGGAACCAGTCCGGGAGTCTGGAGGGGACTCGGACGAGGGTCCTGCATCCAGTGCAGAGATGGGGCCAGGACCATCTGGGAGTGGGGTGCTGCCTCTGGAGTCTGGCAGCAGCAAGGCAGAGGAACAGCGGGAGCCTGTTCCCAGTACGCGTATGCACAGAGCTGCCAGAAGGCAAGAGCAGCTGAGACAAAAGGGGCAACTCAGGAGTAAGGCTTGGAGGTGACTGCCCCTCCCATAAGGGATAAAAGTCAGGCCAAGATGATGAAACCTTTGCAGGAAGCAAAGTCACTCGATCGGTTCAGAGTCATCGTTGAAGCTCTTTGTACTTCGGTTCCTGTCTTTTCTAGTTCATTTGATACTTGTTTTTGGCAGCAGTTCACAGAACTGAAAGGTGGGTGCTTATCTCGGGGGACTGTTTGAGATTAATTCTGACTGGGAATGAAAACAATTCCGAGCATTGCAATAAAATGGGTTTTGTTTTAAAAAATAAGTTTGTGCATCATTACAGTTTACGAAGCCTGGCTCAGTTTGCAAAGATGTTCCCAACCAGAAGCCCAGAATGTTGGAAATATCAAAAACAGTCAAGGGACCTTTTTTCACATGTGGTGGACTTGCCCGGAAGCCAAGCGATATTGGATTAGAATTTTAAAAATGGCTAAGAGGAAATAACAAGCTAACAAATTGAATTTAGACCTGAACATTTCTTGCTAGGGATAATAAGAGGAGATTACAGCAAAAATATTATTATTATTATTATTATTATTATTATTATTATTATTATTATTA